CAAAAACAAAAGTAAATTGGTGTCTCGCTGCTTGATGTTTTAAATCACAATGGAAACTTAATATCATGTTTTTCTTATTTTTTACCTGTCAATGCGGAGGCGGCCTCTCTCTATTTCTTTCTCCTTGTAACACTGCACACGTAGAGTGAAGTGTCCACATTCTTAGCAAAGTGCTTACCATTGGTCATCAGGGAAGACATTTACACAAACGCACACTATGCACGGCCTTGTCCTCTATACACTGACATCAAGTAAATTATAGCGGCTTCAATACACCATATTAAACATGTTGACACTCTAACTCTATATTCTAGATTTCTTGGCTATTAAATCATCACTCCAAGTCCTTTGCTGGGATTCGTTGCCCTACTGTGACAAATTAATCTATTATTTTCTGTGGTAGCGTCACCGACAGTCCTAGGTGGTTTGAAGAACTGCAGTGATTAATGGCAACATGAATTTTGCAGACACCCTCTACTGGTTTCAAATAGTAACTACTACCGCCTCAAATTGTTCAAGTAATTTCTCTCTTTTTTTCTCTCTGCCAAACTCTTTTTTATTTTGCTAAAATGTTGTTTATCCAGTACTGACCACCCGAATCAAAACATGCCATGTTTCTCTCATTATCTCGGCATTACAGAAAATGATTCTCCATCCTCCCAAATTAGGTCAACTGCACCAACATATTACATCATGGCAAAGCCTCTATCGAGCCCCTCTATTACTTTGATGAATGAAGTCATTTGCACATGTGAAACAACTGTATGATCTTATAATGATTAATAAACTATATGAAAAAATTAGAATCGCATTGCTTCAGTTGACACCCACAGTACAGGCAATGTGCATTTCTGTGTAATTTATTTTAACACTGACTGCCAGAGTAAGTCTTTACACGTGGGGAGACATGACAAATATATTACCATCAATAATCAATATGAGGTCTAGCATTTGCACCTCAGGAGATGTTTCCTCCTGTTTCCAGGAACTGCAGAGGTTCCCATCTGCTCTAGCGGAATCGTGTTGGATTGAATATTATTGCTATTGACACCTTTCAGTTCTCAGGGGAACATTTGTTTTGATGCACAATTCCAGAAGTCAAATTCAAACCCTGAATCCCTGAGTCAAATTATGAGCACATTCAATATCCAAGACTTACTTGGCTGCGACAAAACTCACAATACTTTGCAACGTCTACTATTTTCTCACTGATTGTCTTCCCACCCTCTATCAGCATAAATCTTGAATGCAATCCTTTTTGGCAGTCGACTTCCCACAGCACATGAATGCATCACACAGGCAGGCAGACTTTTTTTTAGATCAATCCATGCATCACACTAACATAACTTAGGCAAATAAAATGAGATGTAATGCTTTTTGTAATGGATTAGGTCGTCAGTAATACCATAAAGAAATGAAATGGAACAAGTGTTCGCCAACAAAAACACATACAAAATGGATGGCAGCAATCCCAAATATTTTTGATTTCAGTATATCAGCTAAAAGCAGGGATAGTCCCCTTAATCTCTGAATCAAAACCCAGGAGTTGCCATAGATTTGATCAATTTGGCTATATGAATTCATCATAAAGTGCCTTTTCAGACCTTGAGCCTATTATTGCTTTGAGTTGGCTTCAAAAACAACTTCAGAAAAGGAGAAGCGTTATTTTATTCCAATATATCCTGACCTACATTTTTCATCAATTGTTAAACATAAAAGAAAATACAGAACAACGTTGTTAAGGAAAATCATAATTTTGTACGCAGAGTGCATTCTATTTCTCTGGCATTTTTCGGGGCAACTAAAAAAAAAGGAAAAACAAAAGCTGGTATTGACCTGCTGGAGGCTATTGAACATCCTTCAGAGTGCTCCCTCTTTAATGCTTGTCCTGCACCTGGCTGACAGACACTTGTGTCACTGTCCTAAGGCATTAAGGCAGAGTGGATTCACTGCAGAAACATGACACATTGATGTGAAGAATACAGGACGGACCAACAAAGGATAAAACTAAATGGATAGAGTAATAATGGTTAAAAATAGCTTTTGATTAAATTATGTAAGAGATTGAGAATCAAATAAATTATATATGGTCATAGCCTGAATTGCATTACATAATTGATGCACAGAGTCGTACATTATGTAGCAACTGTCAACATGTGAAATGTGTTTGAAAAAATAATACAAGTGTGATTCTTAAACCACTTAAGGGCAAAGAGGAAGGAGATGCCCTTGGGGACAATGCTGGTGTCATGGCTGAACTCGCATAAATCATGTATATTGCAGCTTTTCTTTTCTTTTTTAATCTGAAACACAATTTAACTGTCAGAGGAAGTGTTAGAATGCCCTCAGGGTCTTAACCCCCAAAGGGTGATAAAAGATTAGAATGTCAAATGTCACAGCACACTTTACAAATGTCTCATGAAACTACTAGAAACACTACGGAGAACTGGTTGTGTTTTAGGGTCTTGGCATGAAGCTCTGCATGAGGATTTTAAGACAGAAAGAAATAATGGTCTTGACTCATTTTCCCTACAAATGTTATAGCTTTTATGTATTGGCAACTATCAGAGAGAGAAAAGCTGCGGCTCTGCATGACTCAGACCAAATGAACACAGTATCACCTAGTGCATTTATTAGATTCCCTGTTTTGGTTGCAATGAATGCAACTTACTGCTGTATTTATAATGTTTATGTTCCCTTATTTTATACAACCCACAGCGCACTGCATGCATGGAGGCTCATGAAGTGTCCCTGTTCAGTAAATTGAGTTTCAACAGGGGCTGAGATGCAGCCGTACAATGAGATTCCAAGTGCAAACACTCATCTGATGAAGATCTTTGAATTTTTAATGTTCTCAAGATAATTTGTCATGTAGAGTATGTCACGCATCTGGTTTATTGTTTTTTTAATGTAATTTATTGGAAATAAAACATTGAGGAACACTTACATCCTTTTTATTAAAGCTACAAGCCTGGATCCTGTCATGGGTGATATCAAATCAGCTGCAGGGAAATGTTTGGACACATCACAGAGCCTTGTGCCTTATTGCTTGAATTATGACCACAAATGCTACCATGGCTTTTTAGATTAAGACTGTCTATTACTTCAGTTTACACTGAGTGCTGTTTGTCCGCTTTTTTTGAGGACGCCTAATTCTACTGCCATAAAGTAATTTGCGGTAACAGTAAGGTGACATCTTTAAATTGCTTGTTCATTTTTTTCCCAAACAGTCCAAACCCCAAAGTTACTAAATGTACTATAAGAGCAGCAAATCCTCACAACTGAGCCGCTGGAACCACATGATGTTTAGCATTTTACGTGGAACAATACTTAACCCTTGGATGCATAAGTGGGTATTTTTTGACCCGGTGAGGTGGTTTTCTTAGAGTATCTTTGTAATTACATTTTTTTATCATTTCATATTCCAGCTATCAAACTTGATCAACCGGCATGGATTGATGGGGGGTGGGCTATGAGTAGACAAGAGGAGAAGAGATGAGTTTTGAAAAGGGACTGGAATACTGTGAGGGTCTCAGAATAGCGAAGATCTTTGCATCAATATGTTCAAAACGTTTTTTTTCAAAATGTAAAAAAAAATTAAATATAAAATATTTCTAGTGTGAACCAAAATATAATGCTAAATATTATGCAAGTGATTTTTCTTAACCAAAATGACAAAAATTGCATTAAAACACATATTATTCTAATACGGGTCCTTTTTGACCCACTTATGGAAGAGTGTAGGGTCCAGTCACTCGTGCATCTAAGGGTAAACAATTAATTGATCTTCACATAGTTGCAGATAGATTCTCTGTCCATCGACTAAAAACAAGCAAGTCGAGTTTAAATAATGGTTATAATGTCAAAATGAAATAGGATTAAAGCATTGTAAGACTGATTTATGCTCTACTATATTGGTACATTAGAACTAATATGATAACTGTATGTGGTGAATTGCATTATGTGTGATGTTCATATTGGTGACATATTATTGTATCTCTACACATAAGGGTATCACAGAAACATTATTTGGAGTCTGCATGATTAACCAAAGGGCCGCCTTGTCATGTTACCTGACAGACCAAGGCAGAAAACAAAAGTGAAAAGGATTCAGAAACTAGTGTTAAGGTTAATTGCATGTGATCAGTCAGAATACAGTCAGGTCTGGAGCATTGTCAACCATGCAAATGTTTTGCAGTGTGTATGGAGGTAGTGCAGTCTGGAGGACCGTGCAATGATGCCCATGAGGATGTGAGGGCTTTGACAAGGTAGGCTTTTTGGAGAGGAAGCAGATGGCCCACATTAAAAGCAAAGGGCCCTTGTGACTGTCTTCAATGGCCCTGCAGAGAACTGGGTAATTAAATGAGAAATTTAATCAGATTCCTCAAATTAAATGTCCAGCTGGATAGTTCTGCAAGAACACCACTGACTACACATTTACCTAAGGGAGTGTCACCGGTGGATGCATAATTCTCCAATCAGCACACACTCATACTCGATGATATTCCAGGTGATGATTACTGCTAAAGTATTCCATTCACAGTTCTGCCAGCAGGAGGCAAAGGGACATCACAGTGGCCACAGGAGGGTCGTTTTAATAATGGGGCCTGGGAGGAAGCAACAAAACAACGTGATGACTGGATGGGGGTTGGAATCAGTGGATTTAGCAGGGAGACAATTTTTCTCTTTTCTCCTTTTGAAACAGGCTTCAATCCCCTGCAGATTCTGAAATGGCATTGACAGTTTTTTCATCATGTTTGATGCAACACGTTTGATGCAACATTTAAAAGAGCCAGCACAATCCAGATCTGGACTTTGGTGACTTCACAATCTGACACGAGCCACTGATTTCTGGAGTCTTCCTTATCTATAGACACTACAGAAACCAGACTCTGGGTCCGTTCTGACTCATTTTGCATTCAGCAAATCCAAGAACCGCCTCCCCTCCCTCCGCTGCCCCCGCCCCGCTGGCTCCCTCTCACACGCAGCCTGTCCTGTAGGATGGGACCAGCAGCCAGATATCCATGCATGCCTGACCGCTAGTTCACTTCCTGGATGGAAGAATGGGACATTTCCAGCTCCACTTTTCGTCGTATTGTGCATTGCCCTTCGTCACGCTGACGCCGCGGATAATCACTTAATAATGATCACGTGTAATCGATATTATTCGACCACTTTTTTCTGTAGTTTAAGACAGCGATCGATCGCCGATTGACCCCTCCACACTACGGGAATGTCGCTATCTGTAATCCCGCTACAGGCACGGTGGAGTCCGACACATTTTGAACTGTTTATGCACGGGCGTAGTGTGCTTTCCGTTGTGTTCCTCGAAGCTAAAAACAGCATCTGCTCGAACTGGAGGCGAATAAATTTGTCTTTTTAAAGAAAGCAGTGATTGCAGACGAAGCGCTAACAATTACTTTGATGCTCTGCCTTCGTGGCTGCTGTGCCAACTTCGTTTCTGCTTTGGCTGTGTGTGTGTGATTTTTTTCTTTTCTTGAAGAACAGAAAAAACTCAAAAACTTTGTCACCCGTTGCCTTCTTGTTGCTCTCGATGAGTAGTCTAACATGCGGAGAATACGGGAACCAAGTTACTGGTGGATTTTATCCTTAATGCTTTTAACCTTGCCCAAACACAAAGACTGTCATCCTGGTAAGTACATGCACCACGGGTTAGCTTTCATGTATGTAGCCTAACTACTGAGAGTCCACCGTGTTGAATTTGTCTGCTGTAATAATGAAGGGTAAACGCGACTTTTGGTTGTCGACTAAATGCATTTTTCAGTGGCAGTACGGTTATAAGGCCGAGCTGAGTTACGTTACGGCGGAGTCGTTTAGCCTCCGTGATTTGTGTGCATGTTATTGATTAGGCAGCTGGACTATGGCGCAAACTATCCTCTGCTTATAGGCTAAACACAGTTCTGCTAAACAACTCCGCTTTGACTCTGAGGTTTACATGTTAGCCACAACACACTGTTTATTCACACAACATGGTGTCTCAATAATTAAACCATCTCAGGAAATGTAGCTAATTTATAACATTCCTGCCAGTGTTCACATGTGATTGAATGACTTTATACCATGTGGAATTAGCAACATGTCTCTATCTGCTTAAACCTGTAGTTTTGTTGTGGTATTTACAAGGAGTCCCCAAGTGTTATTATAGGCTTTCTGTAGTTGTGGTCTTGGTTTACATAGAGATAAAATCATAAGTGTCTGCTTGCTGTCATGTGCGTAGGTAGAAACGAGGATGAGGGCGATAGTTAGCGCTGTTGGCTCGTGGATGGATGTGCAAGTATGAGGGGCGATTAATGCCACGGGAGCACAGATAGTCCCGGAATATCTGCCTCAATATCAGGATTGTTGTTAAACTCACATTTGCGACCTATCAGATATAGTGCTACAGATATTGAACTGTAACATATTGATGAGTTGGTTGAACATTAACAAGTATTAGTAGTGTATAGCCATAATTTAAAATTGGTGGGCACCAGCTATCCAAATGTGTGACTCTCCCTCTGGTTTTTAGAAAAGGTCATATTTTCACAGGTGTTACCATCACTGCCAACATCGATAATGGTGTACAACATAGTGTAAAAAGTGTCGAAAAATATGTAGCCTACAATTTCCAGGAGGTCAAAGAAGATGGTGCAATACAGGGCAATTTTCCCCTTCAAATAGTGTGTCCCAAAGATAAACATTAATATAATGCCATGGTTAACCTCACACTGATGACTGGTGTAGGGCCAAGTGTAAGAGCCAATATTGTGTTATTAAACGCACACTGTGACGTCAATACTGCTTTAAAAGGTTAAAAAAAGACAAATCAGAATATGTAAACCTTTACGAAGTCCAAAGTCAGTCAGATGGGGACTAATGACAATGGAAGACAGACGCCTTTAACAAGAGCTCAGAATAATGCCTCTGTGACTGTATGGTCTAATACGTCTTCATATCATTTTTGACTGGTAATCTAAAGTCCCAATTGTATGTATTGGAATAGAATACATTTTATAATAATGCCTACTTGATTTTTCATATTGTAGACATCTGAATGTAAACCTAAGATATCTGTTAATGATCAGTATATTTCTATTTGTTTCAACCCAAAAAAATACAGAACAAGACCTTTTACACTTCAAAGATAATCTTGTCATTGCTCTCTAGATGACATAATATGTAATATAACTACACGCATGTTGGGCATTTTTGCACCGCAAGTGTTTACTTGTCAACCAATATACAAGCTTATATCCTATTAACTAATACATTACATTACATGTCACTTGTTAGACGCTTTTATCCAAAGCGACTTACATACTCAATACTGTGGGCAATCCCCACAGAAGCAATTTGGGGTGAAGTGTCTTGCCCAGGGACACATTGACATGCTGACTGCAGTGGGGTTTGAACCTGTGACCCCCTGATCTGAACACCAACGCTCAACCCACTGCACCACACGCCTCTAATACAGGCCGGTAATAGTTTAACAGTCTGGTTTTATTATCACAACATTTGTAATTTAATTGGATATATGTTAAATAGCATTTTAACATTGTAGCAACTGCAGATACTTCTAACATACCACGCATATTGGATGTCTCGATTATGTGGCATCAATTCCCCCCCATAGTGAAGTTGCAGTGATGTAACACAGGAGAATGGTTTCTCTCTGAGTCACCCCCCATCTGCCCCCAAATCCCCCCGTTCCCTGCTTCCACGTCCTGAGTTTGCAGCTTTATTGACTTGTAGCCTTATAGGCCCCTAACACATCTGAGTTTCTCATACGGCATGTCTCACCAGACCTCTGACTTGCAGCAGGCTACACAGGCTGATGGGCAGACCAGCTCGGAGGTGGTGGAGGATAAATCCAATTTAACTACTTGTACACTGTCACGTAACCGTATTCATCTACCGTCTAGGCTGGGTGACCTAAATCTTTATAATATAAATTTAGAGTTTACATCATAGACCGCATTGCATAAGTGGTGCTTAAGTTATCATGAAAATAAAAGATTTGAAACGGAGGGGGATTATTTTCTTCCCTAATACAATGCATACTGGATTTAAAGACATAGCTGTCAATGAAATCTTTCCGAATTGTACAACACACGTCATTTTCAACCCTGTTTAAAAAAGCAGTCTTTCACGTCTTATCAGTAACACAAACGTCTTAGGGTGTTTTTCACTAAAATGTCACGAGTTCCCTAAAATAAATGGAAAAATATGTCAGAAATATCAGGAGTTGTGATTTGGTGAAAATGCAGTTATGGTTGTTTTACATTTAGTTTGGTAGACATTCTGCTTAGCATTCGTTATGAGAAGCATAGCTTGTAATTAAATATGAAAGATCTCCTGATTTCATCACTTAAGTAATGAGGAAATTATAGCATGTTATGTGAATACAGTTGTTCACAAATGGATGAAGACATAACGCCTTTGTGATACAGCTGTGGAATAATTGGTAACATAGAGTATAGAACCTTAATGCTCTAGGTTTGTGGTATTTAAATAAACAATTACTGCTTTTTGACAGACAAAATGGCCTTTTTCGCTTGTGAGTACTGTATATTATGAATGTCCTTTTCAAATAACACCATCACTGTCCAAAGCAAATTATATATTTGTGACCAAGCATGTTATTAAGATTATTAATGAGGTCCTGATGTACTGCTGTGCCAGCAGGATGCCAGCTGTCTGGACGTCACTGATGTTGGCAACGGCATCATTATCATCAAGGTCCTCCTCTAGCTTTTCTCGATAATTGGTTCAATATGTACAGTACTGACAGAACATCTCAAAAGTAACTTTCTGCAGTTTTAAAATAGCCCCAGTAACATATGCTCAGCCTGGATCGTGGACGGGCTCAGCTCACGGTTATCTGTTGTCTCTCCACCAGCTGCCTGTGCCACCTACTAAACGGTCCAAAGGGGCACACTGCAACTCTAATCACTTTTTACTGGTGCAGATCATTATCGTTGGTTATTGCTTTTAATTTTGTTTGCACATTTATAAATGCAATTATATTATTAAGAACAGTTTGGACTTAATGTGGTGCTCATATTGTATAATTGTGGTTAAGCAGTAACCACTGTGGTATAGGAGAAGTAACCCAGCAGGCTTTTGCCACACAAATCGGCTGTGGAAAACATATTTAATTTGCTGTAAAATAAGCTACATTTAAAATATTCCACCTTTTCCTCCATAATTGTGGTGACTGATAACACAAAACCAGTGTTGTTCATGATACAACACTTAACAAAACGGGTTGTGTCGAATGACACTCCTAGTACCCTAAAGCTGAGAAACAACAGTATTTTTTTTTAGGTCAGAGAAGGTGGACATAAAACATGAGACTAACTTTCACAAACCTTAGCAGAATAATTTAAAGTTTAAAAGGATTTCTTGAAGTAGAGTGTAAATTATTTCTTTCGGGTTCAGAGTTACTGTTGCAGAATGTCCTCATTGATGGGAAATGCTGTTTGAAAAATTGGTTATAATTTCCCTGGTGTAGCCAGGGCAAGTGTGAGTAAACATTTTCAACCTTGTATTAGTTTAATCATTTATGATTCATTCAATCACTTTCTCAAAACATATTTCATGCCGGACCTTGGGCTGTGAGAACAGTCGTTTCAAAATATTTGGTCATGTTTTTCGGTTTAAAAAAGAAAAAGGATATATTTGCTCTTATTCCCCTACTAGATATAATGTTGCTCGGACCCCAAAGAGTCACCTTAAGCCCGAATAAATCAAATGAATAGAAACTGTGCATCTATTCATATGAATTGCTACCTGCAAATGATGAGTTGGAGGTTAGAGTCTGTGCTGCTCCTGTAGCGTTTCCTTGTAAACAAAAAAAAGTTATGGTTACATTCAGTGTTTTTTTTTTTAATCAGAAGTGTATATCCTTGAAGTCTAACAAATAAGTTGGAGATGTTTTCATCCTCATAACATATTTGCAGAGCAGAAACATTTTTTTTATACCCCGCACTGGATACATCTGGATTCAGTCTTCCTTTTCTCTCTGCCTTTGTTGCACATTGCTATTTATCAGTAAAATACTGTGAAAGTCACCCACACCAGGATGCCACATGCACACTGAAATGTATTTCAATTGCGTTACTAGTGAATCATAAATCAACAGGTTATCCTTTTTTTTAACGAAGACTGATCCCCAGCAGGGTGGATGTACAGTTACATTATAGTATTATAATTAAATGAGAAGAGAATCAATACTTGGCGTACCATTTCCAGGAGCTGCAACTGAACTGAGCGATTAGCAAACATAACTAGGGAGGTCATGCTGTCTCGAGACGTTGGCATTCATATTCAAACTGACTTTTTCAGTTATTACGAGCCCAACATTATGAGAACGATGCTTTGTTTAAAGGGTAATTATAGTAATTTGACATCAATTGTAATTAAACTGTTTATTTGTATAACTTATGTTAATCAAGGCAATCAGTCATCACTTCATTACTTGGTGTGTACAGTTGACTTCACTCGGCCTTTCAGCCAATATACTCCAAGCTGGTCACAGTAGCATTTTAATCATTTAGAATGACTCACAGCCCCTCACTGCGAATCATTTCATCTCGCCTAGCAACTTGCAGCGCAAAATACACGCGCACAGACACACATACACACAACGTA